CTTTCTAGCCTCTTATTGCCCTGGGCAGCGTCCACTGTCTGGAAGGCGCATGCGACGGCACTGGCACCGACACACCAATGGCCCGGTTTAATACCATCAGAGGCGGTTGGCTGGGCATTGGCACCATGCTGTGACATCTTAGGCAGGGACTCAAACAACCCTGGAGCAAATTACCCCAAGCCTCACTCGCTCCTCAGCTTTTCTTTTTTTTTCCATTTTATTTTCTTTATTCCTTTCTTGCTGGCTGTTTCACTCTTCAATAGCCTTACTGCCCGCTGCTCTAACCCATGAATCATATGAGTCACTCAGTTTCTCTCTCTGTTGATATTGCGTCCCATCCTCTTTAACTCGATTCTTCCTGTTCATTTACTACTCATCCATTTCCTCATCATCGTAAAGCCTCCTGCATCTCTTCTTGTGTCCCCTCATTTGTCCCCCTGTTTTTGTCCCAGTACACGTCTCCATCTCTCATTTTCCTCCCCATCCAAATGTTATTATCTCTTTTTTTTTCACCTTTTTCTCGTCCAGACTTATCCCGATGCTCCGTTGCTCCCTCTTCCTCTCTCCTCCCCTGTGGCTTAGTGAGCTCCTGGTTAATCCTCGCTCCTCTTTCCCTGACGCCAACCCTACATCTATTCAGGCTGACTGACAGACACTATTTTGCTGAGGGGTTGTCATCGGGAGAGGAATCTTGAATCTGGACACCAGCTTGGCATGTACATGCCTGCATGCTTATGCAGTCATGTATCTGCGATAAAACACGCAAAGCCTTCATGCACACTCATACTGTTATCACCCAAATGCCGGATGTGCATTTTTAGCATACACACCCAAGCACTCTTAAAGAAATACAAGGTGAGTGAGAGGCACTTGTGCCGAGTGAAAGGGCTCCGCTTTATTGAAGTCGGTGGCTGAGGTCGTTCGCAGGCATTTGCAGAGTCACAGCAGCTGCAGCAGCATCCGTTAATGACAGTAAAACTGCATTTCAGAAGAAGCTAACCAAACTCCCTCAAACCTTTTGCGAGGCCTAGAGATCAGATAACAACAGTCAATCTGTGGATACCCAAGCAGAACTGCTGTCTGTACTCAAGTACTAGTATCTCCATTGTAAGGGGTTTTTGATTACTGACAAAACGCAAAATGTACACGTGTGTCAGTGTGTTTGGTGTCAGCGGCATCAGTCAGTGTGTTGTATGGATTAGAGATGAGCATAAGCTGAGGAAGAGAAGAGTTATTGGTTTAAATTGTGAGGAATGACAAACACCGAGAGAGGAGAGGTAGTCGATACCAGACTTAACAGTGTGTGTGTTAGACCTCAGAGAAAGAGGTGTGCTTGCATTTATACTGTATTTGTGGGTGGATGAGAGGTGACGTTACACTGAAAGAGTTGTTGTAAGACGTTTGCATTTACTTGCTCCCATCTTAAAAGGATGTTATGTACAGAGGTTTTAGATTAAGGTTTAGACAGCATGATTTATTCAGCAAGCCACCTAGCACATAGTCCAGAAAACTATTTAAAACCCTCTTGCAGGATTTCATATATATACGTACAGTATATGGCCATCCAAAAAATTTGTTTTTGGACACAAGCTTTCTTCATGCAAAGTAGTGTATTAAGCTTGAAAGAAAGTACAGACAGTTTAGTAGAATATATTTACATGTAAATGGTTGTGTGTTGTGTTTAATCCTTCAAAAGACTATTCCAATTACAGGGAGGCACCACCTGGGGAGATGGCCCATTATACTTCAATATTCAGTGGTTGTCCTTGTGCACTGCCTCTTCAATACAAACTGAATTTCAGTTGAGCGTAATGACCTGCCTCAGCACACACCAACTGTGCTTGAAAGTGGAAATTTGTTGCCGTTTGTCATGAGGATATAGATTTCACACAGTTAATAATGCAGATAAGGCCGAAATGCTCTGACATTTCTGTTCCCAGGGATCGTTTTATTAGATTATGTGAGTCAACACATTGATATGCATCATATTAAGTTTGGTGGAGCTATCAAGATTCATTTTGTCTCTTGAGTCTGCCTCGACATACAAACGGTGTCGGGTTTTGTCGGCTCTGGCAAGTTTTTCACACCATGTTTGTTTGTCTTAAATTGTAATTCGTGTAAAGGCCAATAATCTTATCAAAGCAACCTGGACTTAAAAACACTAAGAGTAAGCCATGCTACCAGCTCTGTGACACTGTTCTGGACGGTGCTTTGAGTGTTCATATTAGCATGCTAGCATGCTCACAATGACAATCCTAGCATGTTGGGTTTTGCAGGTTTAATCTTTACCATGTTCACCATCCCTTGTTAGCGCGATAGCATGTTAGCATTTACTAATTAGCACTAAACAAAGCATTTGAGGCTGATGGGGATGTAATTAGTTGAGCATGTATTTGGTATTTTGACACACATGCATATAATTTAGTGGCAATTTATTTAAATGTCAATTTAGTTTGAGCCATTATACATGTGTGGTTAGCTGCAGTCCTACCTGTCTGTTCCACAGCTGTCAGGCCTGGTCCTGTACTCTGGCCATTTTCCAGCTCTCTATAGTAAAACACGCAGCAGGCAGCAGTGTCCTGCCATACTGCCAAGGTCAAACACAGTCGCACACATTACTGCACCTTCTCACATATTCTCTTTCTGCCTCTTCCTTATCTTTCCTCTGTTACTTTTTTTTTTTGGCAGAATAAAATCCAGTTCATTCGTCCGATCGAAGAGGAGAAATGTAAAAACCTAGCCTGACTCATAATCGGTCTGCTCTGCGTGACCTTTACGTTTCAGCATGATGTCCTACCTTTTTTTTTAATCCTCTTTTAACCCAGGGTATTTTTTCCTTTGTGTTCCTCCTTTGGGTGCCTCAATATGTATCAAATTAACTGAACATGGCCGGACAATCTGGAGAAAACCAGCAGGTCTTTCTTTATCTTGTGGGTGAATGCTTTCCATTTGATGGTGCAGTCTGTCTCTTTGTTTCTCTTTCACTCTCTTTCTGTCTATTCTTATTTCCCTTGTGCGTGCTCTTTAATTTATCTTGTCACTCCCTCTCTCAATCGCCAATGCTCTCTTGTCCATCCTTTGTCTTCTCTGTTCATCTGACTCTCAGGTTTTTTGGAATTCCCTCTTCTGCCTCTTTGTTATCAATCTCCATCACTGCTCTGCCTCTTCTTTGCTCGCCTCCTCTCATGGATCCACCATCATCTGTCCTCACTGATCTCTCTCTTGCTCTCTGGCTCTCTCAAATGACTGGCCACATGCTAATTAATGTGTTTGTAGAGAGCACACAGTGACTGAGAGAGGCCATTAGAGAGTGTACTTAATGGTAGCATCACGTCCAGGACGTCCCGTGCAGTGCTGGTGTTAGCATTCGTCAGCAGTGTGTTTGTGCTGTGGTTTTTATTATGAGTGTGTGTGTATGTCTCTTACTGATTGCTGAGGGTTTGTGCCTATATATTGTATTTTATATTTATTTAATGCTATGCACAATATTATTTATATGTGTATTTGAGGGGGTGTACAAATGGATGTGTGTGTGTGTGCGCGTGTGTGTGTGCATGCAAGCGTTAATAATGCAGGGCTGTTGATCATACTGAATGATTGATGACAGGGTCATGGATAGAGCTCACGCATGCTCACACAAAAGAATAAAAACTAACCCTGGCAGCATCCCGCGACATCAATGTGCCCAAGCTGTGCATACAAGCAGCACAGTGTCTCTTACACAGAGGGCCATTTATATATTCACTGTAGTTTTGGTGTCTTTATCATGTGGTAGATATTAGTCAAACACATGCCACATCCCCCTACAGCATGAACAATGTGTGACTAAAAACACAAATATCTTGGCTGACGATATTCATGCATGTTTTGAACTTGTTTGCCCTCATTATTGGCAACATTCACGGTTCCAACATTACTAAAATGTTGATGACAGAAGCCAGCATTGCTTATTGACAAACATAAATCAGGCTATAGGCCAGATCAATAGATGTGATGCGACATAGCGCCTTATTGATCTCTCTATTGAGATATTCCTCTTTCAACCAATTCAAAGAGGTCAGAGCACTGAGATCCCCAGTGACTGACTTGGTCAGCGACACTACAGCCGGCTGGTTGTGGTGAAACTCTGTGGGCGTCCAGCGTTGTGAATAACTTGATTAATTTACGTCATCAAGCTAAATGTGTGATGTCCCCATCCCGAAATTCTCACTTGTAGGAGACAGCACCACATGGCTTTAGATTCTCAGATTTTATTAATAGCAGCCGCAATCAGTGTGGGTTTTCTGCAGCTGTGTGTCTCAGTGAGAAACAGACTAGCGTGCCTGTGCACAAAGCTGCAAAGATACTTTGCACCCCTTTATTTGGCACCAGCAGCCAGCATTCTGCAGAACGCCGCACTACAGACAGCATGCACTTTGGAGTCTGCTTGTGCACAGCTCTCTCCCCTCCTCTTCGGTGCAGAGAGCAGCGGGAGCGCTTGGCCGGGATGAGATGTGAAGTGACGGCAGACTCTTGCTGTGCGGAGAGGCTCCTGCGAGGACCACACTGCTAGAGGAGGAGAAAGGCCTCCCTATCCTCCATCACCACATTGTGTTTCTCTAAGCTACAGTCATCTGTTGGTTAATGTGCTGATTTTGTGGTTGTAGCTGAGGCTTTTTTATAAGGGCCTTTATTTATCACGGGGTTAGTCAGCTTTGTAGTGTAGATAATGTAACGTTTGGGAATACAATTACTTCCAACCATTCAAAAACGTGTTAAGTAAGGAGCATTAATCACTGTTATCACCAAATAATACAAGTGTTTTGTCATATTTGTAAGTACAATATCTCCTTTATAAAAGTTGATCAAACATCCAGGATCATGCTGCTGAGGTGGTGGAACTATCTCTATCTCTGTAACTGCTCTATTTGATAAGATCATCCAATATTAGTCCCACAGCGGGGAAATTTGCATTTGATATTGTGTGCCCTGTTCTTTAACTCCTTGTGCTCCCTCTCCAGGTGTTCAACACCTACTCCAACGAGGACTATGACCGTCGTAACGAAGAGGTGGATCCTGTGGCCTCCTCCGCAGAGTACGAGCTGGAGAAGAGGGTGGAGAAACTGGAGCTCTTCCCCGTGGAGCTGGAGAAAGGTGGGAAAGAAAATCTAAGAACATCGTAAAACGAGGGGGTGGATCCTGTCAGTTACCCATTTTACCCAGTAGACAGAATCACCCACGTACGGGATGTGTGTGTCACTTCTCTTTAATCAAAGCAGTGATATTTCTATATTCGTCTTTCTATCCGGGGTTGTTTCCTCATTATTTTCTTCATTATTTCTTTATCCACCCCCCCCCAATTAATGTTTTGAATTTCTAGGCCAGCCATTAACAACGAGGCTTCTTATTTGAAATACCCTTGCGGAAGTTCACTACAAATCTGATTAGATCACACTAAACGATATTGCAGCGTACAGCTTCTCCTAACTCCCCAGCATGAGCCTCTTCACTTGTATTTTGCTGTTGAGGTTTTGCTGTGTTGAAATTCAACGTTGCCAAGGACCTGAAATACAATTACTTTGCATCATAGGATATCACCATACACTCGTTGTTACGTAACCCTAACAACTCATGAATAGTTAATGCAGGATGGAGACTGATGAATGCTACTCTGTTAGGGGATTTCCCATCTAGAACATTTCCTAATCATGTGAACTTGCCTATAGTAAACGCCTCTTCCTCTTCTCCATTAATAAATCAACTGTTCTTCTGTTTGAGTGAATTCATCCATCCATTTTTCCTTGTGTCCCTCAGTCCACCTGACAGAAGTGTACAAAGAGCCATTTTGGGTTTGATCCAAGCTTATTGGAAAGTTGGAAAATGGAAGCTTTTAACCCTTCACACACTTATTGAGACTCAAACATTTTAACTACGTGGTGTGTATGTTCCCAGATGAAGATGGCCTGGGGGTCAGTATCATCGGGATGGGTGTCGGCGCTGACGCAGGCCTGGAGAAACTGGGTATCTTCGTCAAGACCGTCATCGAGGGCGGAGCCGCTGAGAGAGACACCAGGTGAGATCTGCTTTCCTATTGGACGTCACACATATCCCTGAGCGATATGTGAGTCTGGGGACACATCAAAGCGGATTAGAGTTGCAGGAAAGCTCCCATGTGACCAACGTTGCACTTAACACCTATTGTACAAAAATACACACAACAATTAATCAGCTGTTTCGTTTCCACTTTCCCACCACCACCTTCTCACCCTCACACAGTCACACAGTCACACAGTCACACTTTGTTCCTGTCAGCTTTAGCAACATGGGTTAGGATTAGACCCACTGGGAGAGGCGCGGTCTGGGACATGAAATCTCACACAGGACTGTGTGTGTTTGTGTGTGTGTGCGAGAGACACATTTCATTGGAGTGTATTATGTTTCTTGTTTTCTGTGCAAGTTTGCAAAAGTTAGTCTGTAGAAAATGAGAGTCTGTTTTGTGGAGACTTCCACATTCAGTGTGTCTCTATATATGTCCCTAGATGATTCGCGTGTGCGTCGCTGTTGTTGCGAGGGAGAAGATGTGTATGCGTTGTGTGTATTTGTGCACTCTAAAGTGTGAACAGTGCAGAGTAAGCACTCAGCCAGCGATAGAGGAGGAGATGACAGCTTCCCAGCGGACGAGCTGTGGTTTTCTGCCTCTAAACCGCCAGCTTCTACCTATTAGTGTGTCTGTGTGGTTCAGGTTCCCCATAAACAGATTAAAAGACAGATAGGCACTTCCATTCCATGCAGTATGAGAGCAGTAAGTACTGTAAGCTCGGCATACACACTGGGAAACCTAGTGCACTGGGGCTGTTTGCGGTAGGTAGGTGCGTTTCCCTTGGGGATTAATTTTTTCTTTCATGTAGCAGCCAGGGCTGCCATTTTTAGGAACACATGAGAGTGAGATTAGTTCAATTGTAGCGAGCAGAGAGACGGGGGAGAGAAGTAGGCTAGCGAGTGAGGAAAAGAACCGTCTTGTTCAGAAGTGAGAGAAGCTGTTCGAAGATGACAGTTGCACTCGAAAAAGTCTCATTTCCCTCAGTGACTGTGAGAAGTAAGAAGTATGAAAAGTTGAAAAGATCAGAGGAAGGCTTTGCTAAAGCTCAGGTTCAATTCAATTCTGAGCCTGTAGATTTGATCCTTTTTCTCATTTATTCAAGCTGAACAAAGTTTTAATGTTACTGTACTCGGTTCTCCACAATCTATTCAATGTGTTTGCTGTTTTATTAATAATTCTCACAGACTCAAAATCAAAAGAGTCTTGATAAACAATGCCTGCTTACATTGTCAGCCACGCTTGCGGCATGTTTTCTAGGGATGGCAATGTCAGTCTGTCGGTTTGTTCGCTGCTTTGGTCCAGACTGCCATGTTGGTGGTATACTGCAAGTTTATAACAAAAAGAAATTGGTCAGATTAAACAGTTATGGACTTAGGTGTGTACATGGTAACGTTGCATATTGTATTCCACACATTAAAACAGACAGGGTGTTTCTCTCTGTTCACTATTCAGACTTACTCTGGACTCATAGATTTCCCCCCTCCCAATAATAACAACTTAAACTATGCAAGGGAAATACAAATACACATAAATATACAAATAATATAAAATAATCATAGTTGAAGAAAGAAAATGGATAAATAATGATAGCCTGTTAGAGGTCTCGAGCAGTACAGCCTTTTATACCAGATCTTCTCCAACTTGATGATATACAACACATCCCTAATCCATTGGGCAAATGTTGAAGGGTTACCATCTTTCCATCTAATCAAAATCTGTCATCTAACAAAAGACAAAAGGTTTAGTTTAGCCCGTTTGAACTGCTGCTGACCTTTCAACAAGCAGAGCAATTAAAATTTCAGTTTTTCAATTCAATTTATTTTGTATAGCCCAAAATCACAAAACACAAATTTGCCTCAGAGGGCTTGACAATCTGTACACATGCGACATCCTCTGTCCCAGGACCCTCACATCGGAACAGGAAAACCTCCCCCAAAAAAGCCCTTTAACGGGGAGAAAAGAGGAAGAAACCTGAGGGAGAGCAACAGAGGAGGGATCCCTCTCCCAGGATGGACAGAAGTGCAATAGATGTCATGTGTACAGAATGAACATCATAACAGAGTTACAACACATTCAATATGACATAAATTATTCATACGTATAATGAGAGTAGTAAGTATAATAGTGATGGAAACATTATGATTACTAGAGCAGGTGGAGGAATACTTCCTCTTTACATCTCATGTTTTAATAGTGTAGGTCAGTTGAATGCAGTGTTCAAACATTAAATTGCATGATTAGGGCCTCTAATCATCCTTTATTGTGAATCTGCAGCTTTGCCTGTGTCTCCGTGATTGATATCACAATAAACCTTCATCACAACATCAGAGAAATAAACCGAAGACTCGCGATATTAGCAATAATTACTAGATAGCTTGTGCACATTCATTTGCTTTCTAAGTGCTATCTCACTCTCACACACACACACACACTCAGGGGAGGAGTCACTAGCCAGAATGTAATTTCCTACCATCATTACCCTTTCCAGCTTTAGGGCTCTCGCTCTCTTTCTCTTGCTGAGTCGGACGTAATGGTCTGAGGCACACACACACACACTCACAGGCAGACAGATAAATGGGTTTGGTTGTGGCTCATTGTATTGTCTGGTGCAGATGACCCTATATGTGTGTCTGTGTGTGTCCCGGGGTGACATGGGGTTTTATGAGATGAAGGTGTGTGTGTGTGTGTTTTGTTATATTCCTATGAATCTTCCTTTGTTGTTCAATTTGTTTTTATTTGTTTTGCAGCTGCCCTCGCTCAGCCGCTGTATGTCAACCAGCCTCGGTCACCTAAAGCCAAATTGACACATTAGATGCTGTGAAGGTCAGAAAAGCGTCTGAGCTGCTGACTGGCCGACAACCAGCTCGCTCTCTGTCTACCTGTCAGGCTGACGCGTCTCTCTACGTCCATGCGGCAGCTCTGGTTGATGTGTTGGGTGTCACGGTTATATTGAATCCCGCTGCAGCGGCTGAATGTTGTGACAGGCTGAGAAAGGAGCAGAAAGGACATCGCTAACTGCAGTTGATGATGCAACCATCGGAGGACATTGCTTGATTTAGATCTTGTCTTTGCAGGAAATCTGCTCAAAAATTCAAAATGCAGAGGTTTGGGAGCTCAACCCATTCTAGGGACTAAAGAAAGGATTTTTCTGTGTCTTGTGAGTCCCTGAAGTTTAAGGAAGTGTCAATCACTATACTCTTTCAACAATAAATGTCCCGATAGTAATTTAACCTTTTACTTTTTTTTTTTTTTTTATTAGGCCCTTTAATTGTTGTTCCATCACGCAAATTAGGAAACATTGAGTTATGAGGCTTTCATCGGTCAGTGGTGCTCAAATTACAGCATTCATAAACATTTACACAAAATACTGTAGAGTCAGCTTGTTTGAATGAACTCCATGTATTTAGAAATTGTACGTGAGGCAGAATTAGTTAGGTGCATGCTAATTGATCTCTGTAGAACTGAATAAAACTCATGAAACACTTACTCATTATCCTCTCAATTATCCTGAGCGTGATTAGGCTCCAGCCTAGTTGTTCTGGTTTGATTGGACCATTTTATATCACAAAATGTGATAACTGGACTAGATTACAGTGTAATTAAATTGTCAACGATATTGAAGAGATTGGTGGAAGCCCTACATACAATATTTGCATGCTGTTATGACTTGGACCAAATAGAAGCGCGACCTCTACAGTGGGTTTGTTGTAGAAGCAAATGATACATGTCTGGTGCCTTCAAGCAGTGAAGTATTGGAACAATCTGCTGTTTGTTGAAAAGTAATGAGAGCTAGATTTTGTTTTATTCATATGGCGAAGAAATTATTTAAAACTATGTTTCAGAAGAATCCTCAGTCTGGTTTTTATACAGATTTCGAAGTGGGTTTAAATGGAATATTTAGCAAACACGTCTCTTTTTAAGTAATGTTTCCTCTATTTCCCTGTCATGAATCATCAGGAGTTTGATTTCAGATGAAGAACTTAGCTGATCTCTCGTCGTTTTCAGAGCAGAATTTCCGGCTGTGTTGTAGCTCAGGGCGAAATGCTCGCTGGCCTCCCTGACCTCGTTAGCCCTCCTAGTTTTGTTTTGAGCCTCATCTCTTCTGTCTCTTGGTCGGGCAATAGTCTGAAGCTACCGCAGTGGAGATTTGCGACCGCAAGAAAGTCTGACACTGTTGCAATTCTGAAAATAATGTGAATATGCAGGCCAGTTTGTTCGTTCCCTGTGCTTCTTTTGCTGCATAAGTCGTAATGTAATTTTGACATTTATTTTAGTAGACTAGTCAGGGACATTGTGTATGGGCCATATCAGGATTACTTCATCTCACACGTACGCACAGATGGTGAACACAAACTGACTCGCCAGTTTAACACACATAAAGTATTTGTTGCACAAAGTGTTGACTCCTGCTTTCATCTGTGTGTGTGTGTGCGTCAGGATCAAGGTGAATGACCAGATCGTGGAGGTGGATGGGACCAGTCTGGTGGGCGTCACCCAGAGCTTCGCCGCCTCCGTCCTCAGGAACACATCAGGAGTCGTCAGGTACGTCCCTCAAACAAACACGCAGCTAATTATTAGTCCCATATAGTCTTTTCATCCTATATATATTTTATTTAAGTACAAAAACAATTCTACTACTTAGTCAGGACTTTATGGAAACAGGACAGAGTGATGCCAGTGATTTCATTAAAAAATAAAATCAAGCTCAATTGCACACATATTCTACTATGGTACTCCAACATCAGTTGAAGCTTATATATAGAATACGATGTAAAGATTCAGTGCTTGATCAATTTTTATTTTTATTTTATTATTTATTTATTGCATTCACACATTAGATTTGTAGGTTTTCACCCGCTGATGAGGATTTTTGGATTACCATAAGATTATAGAAGTGTGTCAAGCAGCTATCAGCCCCCGAGAACCAGACGTAACATCGTACAGTATCAGACATAATTACTAACAAACTGAAGCCTCTAAAAACCTCCTTTTACACTCAGCGAGGACAGTCTTCGCTGTTCACTACCACTGCATGGTGCAATTCTGAAAGCTGCTCATCCTGCTGTCATGGTGCAAAAGTGGCAAAACAGCCGCTGAAGCCGCCATGAGATTTTGTTTGGCAGGCCCGACAATGCCATTACCATCTTTTAGATACTGGAGGATGTGGGAACACCGTATGTGACAAAAGTCTGGTGCGTTTGACAGTCGCGCAGTTTTTGGCAGGGGTTCGCTAAGAGCAGTGTGGAGCAGACGACACACACACAAAGCATAGCAGCAAGGCTTTGATGTGTCCTTGGCAGTGTTGTTTGCCTGCCATCTCTTACTGTCAGTTGGTTCTTTCTGTTGTTTTTGTTTTTTTATGATTTACTGTTGTCTTTTCATGTTTCATCACCATCATCTTTTATTGAGTATTTCCTGTCCTCCTCCCTGACTACTCTTTTCACTCTTTCTCATCTTATTTGCTGTTTCAACACGTTCTCACTCCCAACTTGGTCATATACCGACGCTAAAGGGTGCCTCTGTGTGTCGGTATCAGACCCCGAGGGGCACTGACCAAATGTCCGTATTAGATGAGAACGGGTTGGCTGTTTGCACCCCTCTATCCCAGGAAGTCGTGTTTACTTTGTCATGCTTCAATTTGTCTAAACTAATTGATCCATAAATCCATCCATCCCCATATCCTTGATATTATTATTATGGATTATTATATAATCTATCAGCCTCAGTGGGGTATTCAACTATTCCGGTGCCATGTTCACTCAGCCAGTTGTGGGAGGATAGATGTGTGCACTGTGGAGAGTACCTGGCCCGGGGGAAGAGCTGGTGGCTGAACAAAGACATGTCCAACAGTATCAGAACAGATGCTGTTTGCTGAACTAATATTGACAAGGTTTTTTTTTCCACATACCAGGATGTGGCACTATAGGCTTGAAAGGTTCCATCTATCACCTGTCCATCTATCTAGCAATTATAAATAGTTTAAAGTGTGCGGTGAAGGAAGATGTATTGTCTAATCAGTCTATTGAAGCTCTAGAAATGCAATTAGTGACTTAAACACAGATCTACATTTTTTTATTTAAATTTACCGTATGAAAAATAATCTTATAGCAAATTTGAATGATTATTACAGTTCTTGCTTTTTTTCATCGATTCCCCAGACTCTCTTCCTCACTGCTCTCTCTCTATTTCAGTCTTCCTCTATCATGTCACACCCACTCACTCCTCCTCTTCCTTCTCCTCCTCCTCCTTCTCCTCCTCCTCCTCCTTCTCCTCCTCTGTAAATCCTTCTCTCTCCGTCTGATCACCAGAGGTTTTATGACCAACTGTCCTAGATTTTCCGTTTTAGCTATATTTAACCCTGACTTCCAGCACTATATCATCCAGGTTTCAGTCATAAATTCCCCCCAGCGTGACAGTATAAAACACAGATTTAAAAGCCCTGTCTTATGGATCACTTGTGAGAAAACGCACTTGGTAACATGATAGAGCTGTCACAATATCAGATTATCTTGGCCATAAGAATTCACAACGACAATATTATCTCAATATCTATAGAAAATAAAGAAAAAGGCTATCAGTCAAGTGTAGGGATGTGAAGATATAGGATTTTATCGTGGATAAAAAAACACTCACAAGTTGATTGTGATACATTTTCTTTAATAATCGTTGAAAAAGCTGTCTAGCTTGCTATCATGTAGAGAAGTAAAAAATAGAGCCTGATTTTAAAAATACAGGAATGACCATTTAAAGAAAAGACTCTCACAATGTTGCTATTTCATTGATTTATCCTTTATTTAAGGAGGCTTAAGGCTTATGATGACATTGTTTTTCACACAAAAAAAGGTCCTACCTGTGATGCAATACAAAATATATGTTTCTTAGCAAAAAGTAAGGTAAAGCGATTCTATAATGTTTTAGTTCATTTTGAAAGTTTTAAGCATATTTTGACATAATTATTGAGATACCATCATGAATTGCAATTATTTTCGTCGGGATAATCGAGACATGAAATCTTGGTATCGTCCCATGCTTAGTCAAATTCATTTTTATTCGTTTTTTAATTTGTTTTTTATTGTTCGTTTTGTTTACTTTTTGACAAGGGAATTTGGAAGGAGGTGGCGAGAGAGTCAGTTGCTAAATTTAGACTAGAGTGGGCAACTGTGGCTCAGTGTTAGAGTGGGTTGTCCTTCGATCTGAAGATTCGGTGCTTCGATCCCTGGCTCCACCGACACTTAACCCCAAATTGGGGGTTATATAAATGGGTGTGAATGTGTGAATGACTTGTCGTGTAAAAGCGCTTTGAGTGGTCGGAAGTCCAGTTACCATTTACTATATAAAGGTGCTCTAATTGTATGAGCAGGATCATTAAATCTATTAAGTAATCTTGCAATATTCTATATTTACTTAAATCCCATGAAAAGGCCAGAACCGACAATTAATGGATCATTCAATAAGAATTTGTCAAAACCTGATAAAGGTGGTGCCTTTGTGCCATAAAGCTCTGTTGTTACTCACCAGCGCACCAAATGTGTATTAATACACAGCTGAAAATAGTCCCCAAATGCACTTCTTACTCTTCTTTGCATTTACTAAAAATGACATTGCCGGAAACTACTTATTCTGTTTGTAAAATGAAACTATGCATTTGTGCATCTTCGATGCAATAAATGAGGCTGAATACCACAGACAGGGGAGTCACAAATATTGATGATACTGACTTTCTTTCTTTTATTGGAATTTGTTGAAAAATATAGAATAAGACCATCCTTTAACTATTTCTGTTATGATGCACCCCATTCTTACAACCTACAGAGAGAAAAGTTGAACAAAAAGAGGAAATCTCTACATGTCCCCACGATGGCCGACTAGTCATCTGTTCTGTGTGAACGCTGACAACCCAAAATGCCTGTCAACTCAGCCTAATGAGGAAGACTGTTGTCTCTTCAAGTTCCTGCACCATACTGCATGTTTAACAAGAGCCATGTCTGTATTCATTTGAGCCAATGAGATCAGCAGTGAAGGTTTCTACAGTTGATTTGTAGCGCTGCTGTGTGTGGCAGCCCCAGAGCACTGAGAGGCAGGGAGGAACCAAGACAGACTCCCCATGCGTGAGGAGGAAGGCTGTTTCCAGGTCAGCTGCTCCTCAGGCCTCCCTGCTGTCCAAAGGCTTGTTCCAGTGCACTACTTAGCTTAGCCCGGTCCTTCTCTCTTTTCCATTTTTTTTTATAACTTTCTGTCTCTGTCCTGCCCTTCAGTTGTTCCTTCACATGTAGATCAAATACGCCTCTCTGCTGGAGCGTAAGGCCTTTTTCTACATCGCCTTTAGAAATAAATGAAAGAGCTCTCAGGAACTGAATTCACTTGATTAGGCCCTATCTCGAATCCACTCTCCATCGCTCTCTCTCTCTCTCTTCTTCTGTCTGTCTCCCTCTCTCTCTCCAACACACTTACTTGTACACAAACAGTAGTTAGGAACATGCTTTTAGCACACACACACACACTTATACAAAGTCATGTTTCCACAACTCTAGAGGACATTACATCGACTTACATTCATTTCCTTGAGACTTAGCCCAACCATAACTGCAATTCGCCTTATCCTAAACCTTACCCTAACTTTAAATCAAGTCTTTACCCTAAAATATAAATATTTCCTTAATGGGGGCCTGTATTTTGTACTCAAAAGGAAGGCGAGTCCCCACAATGTTACTGTGTAAATAGATTACATAAGTAATACACACAGACACATAGTTATAGGGCCATGATGAATTTTTTTTTCATTTTCTTTGGGGGATATTTTTGAATTTTATTGGTTTTTATTTTTGTCGAAAACATAGTAGCAATGCCAGGAATTATTGCAACGAAAATATCCAGATAACAGACATCCGATTTTATATATATATATATATATATAGATATATATATATATATATATATATATATAATTACGGGCAGCACTTCACAATTTGCATATGTCCATAAGATATATGCAGACAGTGAAAGGAAAGTAAATTACATTTTAAGCAGAGAAGATGAAGAAGGCCAGCCTCGTCTTCGAAAAAATTACATTTCAAGGGAAACGTATTTAGTCTTGGATTACATTTGCATTTCAAGTTTCACAATTAAGTTTCAAATGAGTCTGCAGAAGTCTGCGTAGGGAGAAAAATAACCAAGTACGTAAGTACTAAATATGTTGAGTTTTTGTTTTATATTGTTTTGTTGTCATTTTAAGCCAAACTATGATGTTTTTTACTTAACCCAACCAAGTAGTTTTTTGGGGGTTTTGCTTTGTTTTGTTTCAGGTAGAGAAAATAAGTTTCCCTCGAAACGTAATTGAGAGTGCAGGTTAGTTTTACGGGAACATCATTTTGTAGGAGACAGGACTAGCGAGGCAAACCACCAAACATGTTCCATATTCCAACAAATGTAATATCCATTTTGTCCATCTTTCATTTTCTAAATCGTTTCTCATCTTAGTATTTTTTTGAGGAAGTATTTGTCATTTCCTGTTATTCCTTCTGGCAGATCATCCACGGAAAGTTACATGAATGTCAATGAGATCTGCAGCTCAAAAATCTGCATGATTTCCAAATGTTTTCCTAAAACAGTATCTTTGGGTAGATCCAAAAAAATGTGTTTTCCGCCCCTGCTGTGTTGGAGGTTTCCTAGAATAGTTCAGAGAAATTCTTATACGTCATTGCTTGGTTTAGTCAGTTATGAGAAGAATACACTGGAAATAGAGTAGCAGTACCTCTATATGAGTAAATCCTAAAGCCGCTCCCTTTTTATTTTTAGAGTTATGATCATGCAAACTATGTGCTCTTGAATCTAAGATGACTTTATCCTACTTAGTCCCTGTCTTACGAGAAACACACACAATTTGCAGGAGGGCAGGTTATATCTGTGACAAACCTAAACTTCTTTCAAACGTGATTTGTGCCCTTTCTCCTTTTCTTTCTCACTCTGTCTCCATGTTAATCTGATATGTATTAGGTCCCATGTGTAACTACGGTAGTTAGTAGTAGCTCGGAGGCAGAGCCTGTGGCTTTCTCCATTTAGTTCCTTGCCAGGCTAATAACAGGCTCGCTGGCTGAGCTGACTGCCTTCTTGTATTATTATGTGTGGCCCGTCTCCCAGCCCTGCCCTGATACGTCAGCAGATATCGCTGTCATTGCTATGTGGCTGTGGGCTTCTGCTGATCTCACACAGTGCCTGCTGTGGTCATTTCACTGCACAACTACACATCACCACGAGAAAAAGACCCAATACACATTGTAACAGAAGTATAGTAAATATGTTTATATAGGCCTGAAAAAGGACACAACTATCTGTAAAAAGAGGAAAGAATAAACATTGATAAGCATTTTTTCCTTGATGTAAAGATGTTTTCCGTCCAAATTGTTTTCTTCTGAATGACATTGTAAAATGAATTGTTACCATAAATAAGGCTTAGACAAACAGGGAACTCTTAAGAATCTGTGAGTTTTTTTATGTAGCATTTACAAGAGACTACATTTCCCATAAGGCCGTACACTCCTTTTTTTAACCTCAGGCTCTGAAAAGTGAAGCCAATGCTGAAGTGCCTTAATAAAAGTGCATTCTTTCTATTGGCCAGCAGGGGCAACTCCTCTGGTTGCTAAATTAAGTTTGATTGTATAGAAGTCTATGAGAAAATTACCCGACTTCTCACTTGATTTATTTCCTAAAGTGAGTTTATGGTCTCAGTTGCTAGTTTCAAGTCTTCATCAATACAGCATGATGTTCATTTAGTAAATGATGGTACCATTTAGAGTAATATAGACCGTAAAGCAGTCTTATTCAGTGTTCGTTTCTACTTAGCTCCACCCTCTCGTGTCACATCTGGTTGCAAAAAACCAAGATGTCGACGGCCAAAATGATAAACTCAAGGCTGCAGAAACAGTAGTCCACAAACCAATGAGTGACGTCACGGTGACTAAGTCCACTTCTTATATACAGTCTATGATTTTAACCTTTTGCTATAGAAGCAGATTTCCTGAAAAGCCAGAGACTGATGACACACAGTATAACTGATGATTTAATGATGACTTAGAATTGTTCATTCATGAAATTCAAATGCTCATGTGTGTTTATTTCAAAATGTACTGTAACCGTTATGTAATCACAGGCGGGTTGACTCTGGTTGCGTGTGTTGCCAGGACTGTCTATAACAGTGCGTGTTGTTGCAGGTTTGTGATTGGACGAGAGCGTCCGGGCCAGCAGAGTGAGGTGGCCACGCTCATCCAGCAGACCCTGGAGCAAGAGAGGAGACAGAGAGAGCTGCTGGAGCAGCAGTACGCCCAATATGATGCTGATGATGACGAGGTAATGACCACTCACAACCCTGGCCACTGTACAGGCCGTCCTGGAGGTGCAATAAAGGATTGTGTGTACATACATATGAGATTATGTATATCGCAGTGTGGATCTTAAAATATCTCCAATGTGCCAACAGGGTAAGATTATCATATATTATTAATAAAGCATATTATATCTAAATCTATTTGAAGTTCATCCGCTGTCAGTAAACTGACTTCTTACACATGACACTGAGGCTTCCACTTGTCACTTAATGTAAATCAGCTCCCTTCTTATGACAGTTGACTGGAAGTTTTAGCTTATTAACTCCATAATAAGACTGACAGTGGGCTTTGATGCTGGCACACAAAACGCACTCTCTCACAGACACACACACACACACTAAGAAGATGCCATGTGGGTTTTGGTCCTAGAAAGCATCGCTCAGTGTTTCTCCTCTCTGCTGCTTACTCACAGCACGTTTAATCCAGCAGACACTGAGCTCATGGCCCTGCAACTCATGCTATTTGTGTGTATGGAGGCACACTCTTACTGTATACACACATGTAGTCACACACTAAAGTAACATACAACAATGCATAGTGCACCCTTAATAACACACAGAGGAACAGCTGCAGTCATGCGTAGATTTAAATGCAGACACACACTCACCCAGGCATCTCTTTCCTCCTCTTTTGTTGTCTTCATCAGTGTTGTTTGAGGTCTTTCATTTTCTGTGTTGATTGAGAGCCTTCATGCAAAAGAAGCTCCTCGCCAGGCCCCGGAAGCTGATCCCACCGGTCCCATTATCAAAGCAACATACACATGTAACGCTTTCAGCTCTTATTAAATCTCCTTTAGAGAGTTGAGGATTCAGCCATTCGCGAGTCTTATTCAAACACGCAAGAAACTTCTGTTCTTCTGCCTGTCATCATTTCATATCTAGGGTATGTAACGATTCAAACAAAACTTAGGAGAACAGCTTGAGTTTATTTTTTCTTTAATGAACACCCTGTGCCACAGATCCCAGCAAGAACACGTAAACATAAGAATGGTGATTGTATTAAAATTGTTAATCCATACGTAGATTACTAACCGCTGTGAAACACTCTTGAAATCTGCCACTGTTAAGCAGCAAGCCATCCATAACTCCCTACATAACTGTCGATAGGGTAAACAGTTACAAAACCATTACAAAGATCTGTGGGGTAATAAAAGGAACTCATCAATATTAATATCTCTATAAATATTACAATGAGTTCTCACCAGGGGGGAGGTTATTTCTCACTGTGAGAGCTGCCTGGGTTAATCTGATAGACAGCTCTTTATTGGTGCTGGGGCTTCCCGTCCCAAGAGGAAGAGATACTCCTTCAGTTATCAATAGACATTACACACACACACACACACACACACACACACACACACACACACACACACACACACACACACACACACACACACACACACACACACACACACACACACACTACGTTTACATATGTGGATGGATGGTTGAGTGTTTGCATCACTGGTGTTGTGAGGAAGAATAAAGTCTACTGACATTTCAACGTTTATTGACTTAAATTTAAATAGACAAAAATATTAAATACAGCAAGACATCAAATCAAAACATTAGAAACAATAGTGCACAGCACACACACACACACAAAGCTGTGCCCAGTGGCTCACGTGCGCTCCTCCTCCAGTCAGAGGAGCCCTTAGCCCTTTTCCTCCGTCATTGTGCCAACATGCTACTCGTAATAGACATGCATAGTGCAGCTCATCACACGCTCAGCAACATTTCTCCCTGAATTGTCTCTCCCTCTCCTGATTCTCCATGCATGTGGTGGGAGGTGATGCATTTATCATATGCAAATTGGTGTTTGACTGACCTGCCATGTGTTCAACGGTTAACTCCACCTTCAGTGAATGGGACGTTAATGTAGGATGCTGGTACCATGGCAACAGGCAAGCCTATTATGGAAATAGAACTCTTATGTCGGTCATGCATGCAAACAAACCAGGCCTGAGCGCCGTTATCTGGGAGGGAGATGGGAGAAGATATAGGCCAAGATGATGAGAGAGGAGATGAGACTGTGTGTGTGTGTGTGTGTGTGTGTGTGTGTGTGTGTGTGTGTGTGTGCGTGTGTGCGCGCGCAGTATGTACGTGTGAAAGATCAAGACACAAAACAAGTAACTAGGGAATGATAGATAGACCTGACAAGATGGAGAGACAGAGAGAGTAGTGACATACATATTTATATGTAGATAAAAAAAAAGCATCAACTTGGACAGAAGGAGAGGATGTTAGAAAGGATAGAACATGTGTGTGATGTTAAGAGGGAGGCCGAGATGTTTTCACATAATGGCTTCACTCGAAAAATCAGGCTCTGTTGGTCATCAGCCAAAGAGCGAATCAACTGATCCATTTAGATCCAATGCCTAATAGCCAATGCCAACAGGTATTCATTTTGAGAATTGGAGGAAAGAATACATGCAGCATAATGGCAGACATCAATGTCAACAATACGTTGACAGATGGTAACTTTTATTAGTCAGAGATCTTTTTTATATAGCCAAGAGATTGCTGACATCTAGAATTGTCTCCATTAGAGACATTTACAGGCTCAAACTTGGAGAGTTTTGACTCGTATCCGCCTGACACATGAGGCGAGATAGTGACTAATATTTGAAGATAATAAAAAGAGACATTGAAATGTGTCCAGTACAACTTATCTTTATAGAAATGCCTGACCAGGCTGTCAAACCAATTTATTTTTGACAAAGTTTTGGCCAACTTACTGTGTTACCTCATATATAACTGGTAGCATTAAAATAGCATTACTTAATGTAAAATAGAACCTGAAAATGGGTAGGAGTTTCTGGACGTGCTTGACACGCAATGGGAGGCTCTCTGACTGGTGCAGCTTTGAGGAGAGATGGAAGACAGACAGATGTAAGAAGAAAGAGAGAGAAAGAGAGCTGGAAAATGGATGCTGCAGTTGGACAGCTGGATATCTGACTGGGTGGTTTCTCTGTTCATGCTGTTTAGCAGCTTGTTGGACTCCGTTTTAATGAGTAAACCTGCTGCTGGGTAGACAAAAGCAGGCTTTTTTTGTTCCATTTCTTCGGTCTTCCCGGCTGAAATGACAACTGTCACTTGCAGATTTGATCAGCCATGTAGCCATGTAGCAAGCAGTTGATTAAATAAACATGTGCTAACTTTATGAGTTGGTTAACTTTTTAATGTTTTCAGCTGATTCATTTTTAAGATTAAATCTTGTAAAACGGGTTTTAGATGCACTTGATGGCTCCATGCGTGACATTGTGCTAAGAGAGTGGTGTGGCTAAAGCTAGTTCCAGTCTGTGCCTTTCACGTATTACCATGACACAAAGTCACAGATATAACCACCAGATATAACCTTCTCACAATGTTTTTAATAATTATTGTTGATGTTATTGCCAGAATCCTCAAAGACTTTTACAACCATCTGGATGAATAAATATTCCAAAACAAAACATTTTATTATCAGTATTGGTTTCTTTACAATATTTTATATTTTCATACAAAAT